GGCCGGATTCCAGCTGAGGGGGACTCTGAGCCAGAAGTACTTCTCGATGCCTTTCAAGACTTCAAACAAAGGGTGGCATGCGAATTGGTTTTATGTTCAGAATCCTGAGCCAGCTCTTCCCGAGTACTCTTGTCTTCCTCCGGTGTACCAAGATACTTGGAACTCTCTTCCGATCGGAGATGAAGCTGCCCAAGCCTTGGAGTTGATGGATCGCATGCTAAAACTCAAAGAACAAGGCTTACAAGGAGAGCAGATTACTCGGCATTTCATCAAATGCCGATTGGCACCAATTAAAGAAAGATCCCGTACGGCATTCGAGTTTAACGGCAAGCATGATCCTAATCGTGAAGAACCAGACTCTCTGGATTTTAAAATCATGAAGGAGAGAATGTATAAAATCTTCTCAAATGCTATTGTCGTCAGCTACTCACATCAGCTGCCAGTTGTGCCATATAATGCATTCAATCCGCCTCCGCAGGTATGTATCTGAAACCTTCAACCCATGACCAAAACATAATCTTGTCTTCATGTTGAGTTAACTAACCGTGGAGGCATCTCATTCAGGAATATGTATTGATGAAATCTGACCCCCCAATTACTCAGCGCCGGTCTCCTCGCCAGCACACCGTTCAGGGAGGTGGAGGGCCGACAATCAGATCAGACTCGCAACCTCAAACCTCCAATCCGACTGGGCAAACAGGTTCTCGCAAGAGAAAGCTGGTGCTTAACGACGACGAAGGCGACGACGGCAACAAATCTGGGAACAAAGGCCTGCCCAATAAACTCTCAAAGCATACCACTCCCAGGAAAAAACTGGCTGGCCGTCCAACGCCAAAGATCAGAACATCTTCCAGGCATAAACCTCTTGGTACCATTTCGCTTCGGTATGCTTCTCTCATGAAAATAATACTGAATATTGAAAGGGCACTTTGCAGGAAACCATCCGACATAGATCCAACTGGAAAAGATCCTGATCCGGCTGTGACAGAGCCAAGTTCATCCAAGGATTCTGAGCCGACTGCTGAGAACCATCCGACGGGCGCCCATACTTCAGGTGATACAGCCGATCCGAGTGACCAGCCTCCGACTGGAGACCAGTCGGCAGCAACTGAAACTACAACAACCCAAGAACCCCCGACCGGAAACCAGTCGGATGTAGGTCCAGATCAAGAAATTCCCGAAGTTGAAGCGCAGACGACGACTTCTCAAGGACCAGAGGCTGGTAACGACGCGATGATTGGGTCTCTAAATAAAGAACAAGGGTCACTTCACACTCAGCTAGGAACATCCTCAGGTAACCCACCTTCTCAAGTGATGCCGATTTAAATAACTTCAGCTTATTCGTCTAATGTCTTGGAAATACATCAGGAACACCAGACGATGACGAAGAAGCTATTCCTCGCATAAATGCGGCTGATGACTCTCGTCCTCCTATCTTGCTCAAATGGTGGGACGAGAACTCACAAGTCGCCGGCATCGTCATAAATCGTCAAAAAGAAGATGAGGAAGTGTGCCAGCTGAAGAAGGCACTTGGAGAAGCCACTCGCATCGTGAATGTAAATCTTCCGGGTGACTGCCTTTGATAACTTTGTTCTCTCTTAAGCAGAACTAAACCATGAACCATCATGCAGAGAATCCATCTTCGCAATGAGGCCAAGACTACAACTTTGGAAAAGCTGGTTCCTCATTTGGGAACTCTTGAAGCAGTTAGGGACCAGCTACATGAAGCCAAGGAGCTCGCCAAAAAGACAGAGAAGGAATTAAGGGACCGAATTGCCCAGCTCCAGGATTCAAACTTCGAGCTGAGTGGTTCATCAAAAGGTAATCTTCTAGATCTGTCCCATTAATTTATGCTGTCATAACTGTATCCTCAAACGTTTGGATTTCAAACAGCGCAAGCCACCAGGATGGCTCAGATGGAGAAACAAATTGAAGCTTTGAAAAGAGACAAAGTAGAACTGGCTGCGCAAAGGGACTCGGCCTTGAAGGAGGTTGAAGGTACCGCCAGCTGACAATCTGAACTTCTCTCTTTTTAATGCAGTAGATTTTGATCATAAATGTGTTTTGTAGACCGCAAAATCAAATCTCAAGCTCAATTTGACGTCCTGGTTGGTAAGATCAAGAGGCTTGAAGGAGCAAGAGATGAAGTCGCTAATGTCGCTACACCACTTGTCCAAGCTATGTTCCTCAATAACAGTGGTCCGAGTGCACTCGACGCAACCGAAATCTTCGACAAGCTGAGAGTTGCTCCGGATGTATATTTCAAGAATATCAAGAAAGCTGGAAGTATGGGAGCTAGCATGGCACTGGCGATGACCAAATCCTTGTACCCAAGGATTGAAATCGACGCCATTGATGGCTTTGCAGACGGGACAAGCGAAGAAGCTGCTCTTGATCTTATCAGCAATGCTCAAAACGCGGCTGACAAGATTGCAAGTGACGTTGTAGAGCAATTCCGCAATACCGACCTTCAGCCGAGTAGTAATAACTCTGATGATGAAAAAACTGATTCTGACTGAGTATGAATGTAACAAATGGAGGTTCAACTTATACAATACTGGTGTATTTATGCTGTGTTTGATAATTCTAGCCAAGTCGTTGATTTCTTAAAAGCTTTTATCAAGCTTTGTTGAGCCTAAAACCCAAAGAAGCTATTAAAAACTTTCAGTCCTCGCAGACTAAGTAGGAAAACCAAACAAGGCAATGATAGACCAAGTAAGCAAATTGAATTGATAAAAAATCAAACTCCATTATTATGATGATAGCCCCCGACTGACAACTTCAAGAAGAAAACTTGATGTTGACAGTCAAAGTAGGGAAGTACAATGATAAGCTTAAGCGTAGAAACGACGAAGATGTTCAATGTTCCAAGAGTTGTCGACGAGTGTACCGTCTTCGCGCTTGAGTCGATAGGAACCTGGTCGGGTGACTTCAGAGATGATAAATGGCCCTTCCCATAGAGGAGATAACTTGTGCCGATCTCGTGTAGTTTGAATTTTCCTCAAAACCAGGTCGCCGACTAGAAAGGCACGGGATCGAACATTACGATTATGATAACGTCGCAGCCCTTGTAAGTATCGAGCCGACTGAATCAAAGCCGCTTCGCGGACTTCTTCCAATCGGTGCAAGTCATCCACTCGGTCCTCTTCGTAGCGTTCTTCATGGAAATTTCGAAAGCGCAAAGACTCGAATTCAACTTCACTCGGCAACATTGCTTCTGCCCCATAGACAAGGAAAAAAGGTGACTGGCCTGTGGCCCGACTGGGTGTAGTCCGCAAAGACCAAAGTACTGACGGCAGCTGTTTCACCCATTTGCCGGCATAGGGTTTTAGCCGGTCAAAAACACGCGCTTTAATCCCTTGAAGTATCATGCCGTTGGCTCGCTCCACCTGTCCATTGCTCATGGGATGCGCCACTGAGGCATAGCAAATCTTGATTCCAAAGTCTTCACAAAAGTCTTTAAAAACTCCGCCAGTGAATTGTCTGCCATTATCAGTGATGATCCGATTGGGCACTCCAAATCTATGCACAATGTTGATGAAGAAGTCTCGAGCGTTATCTGTTGTGATTGTGACAACCGGTTTAGCTTCAATCCACTTGGAGAATTTGTCAATGGCCACAAAGAGGTGCGTGTAACCGCCGACTGCCTTTTTAAACGGGCCAACCATGTCGAGCCCCCAAACCGCAAACGGCCAAGACAGTGGGATGGTCTGCAACTCTTGAGCTGGTAGATGAATTTGTCTGGCGAAAAATTGGCAACCTTCGCACGTGCGCACAATTTTGTCGGCGTCGGACACTGCAGTAGGCCAGAAAAAACCCTGCCGGTAAGCTTTGCCGACAATGGTGCGCGCGGCAGCATGGTTTCCGCATATCCCAGAATGTATGTCTTTCAGCAATTGTCTTCCTTCCTCTAAAGATACGCAGCGTTGCAGAATCCCTGAAGGGCTTTTCTTGTACAACTCAGCTTCATGCATAACGTAAAGTTTGCTCCGCCTTGAAATCCGCTCGGCTTCATCTTTGTCTTGTGGGAGTTCTTGAGAAGTCAAAAATCGTATGAGAGGTTCTCGCCAATCGGTTTCAACCATAGCTACGTCATGAGTGCCCGCAACTTGAGTAGTATCTTTATGAGGTACTGTCGGCGTAAAAAGGTGTTCGACGAAAACATCAGAGGGCGCCACCTCGCGCTTGGATCCAAAGTTGGCAAGTCTGTCGGCGGCTTCATTGTTGTGTCGAAGAACGTGACTGAGCTCGAGTCCATCGAACTTGTCTTCCAATTTGCGTACCTCTTGTCGATATGCCATCATATTGTCGTCAAGGCAGGACCACTCTTTCATAACCTGGTTGACAACCAGCTGTGAATCGCCTCGAACTATTAGACGCTTTATCCCTAGGGAAATTGCAATCCGCAGTCCATGAAGGAGCGCCTCATACTCGGCGACGTTGTGGGATGCCGAAAAATGTATCCAAAGCACATAGCTTAATCTTTCTCCAGTTGGGGAAATCAAAACCACTCCTGCTCCAGTGCCCGAAAGTCGTTTTGATCCGTCAAAATGCATGGTCCAGTGCTCCATCTTCTCCGCGGGGATATCCTCCTGGCACTCGGTCCATTCGGCGACAAAATCAGCTAACGCTTGGGACTTGATTGAAATTCGGGGCTTGAATGATATGTCCAAAGACATCAACTCCAAAGCCCACTTAGCAGTCCGTCCGTTTGCTTCGCGGTTGTGCAGTATATCACCGAGTGGAAATGATGTGACCACCGTTACCGAGTGACCTTGAAAGTAATGAGATAGCTTCCTGGTAGTAATTAGAATACCATATAACAGCTTCTGAACCTGAGGGTACCTCGTTTTGGAGTCGGCTAGGACTTCGCTGACAAAGTAAATCGGTCGCTGGACTTTCTGGACATGGCCTTCTTCCTCGCGCTCAACGACCAAGACTGTGCTCACAACCTGGGAGGTGGCTGATACGTACAGCAACAACGGCTCCTGCGGATGTGGTGAAGCTAAGACTGGTGGCTCGGTGAGGAGTTTCTTGAAATCTTCGAAGGCCTTCTGTGCTTCGGGTCCCCACTGGAAATCATCTGTTTTCTTCAATAGCTTAAAGAAGGGCATCCCCCGCTCGCCAAGTCTCGAAACAAATCGGCTGAGCGCCGCCATGCATCCAGTCAGCTTCTGAACATCTTTCTGGGTACTTGGCGGTTTCATGTTGAGGATAGCAGTAACTTTCTCCGGGTTGGCTTGGATGCCCCTATGAGACACCATAAAACCAAGCAGCTTCCCTGACGGCACTCCGAAGGTGCACTTTTCAGGGTTTAATTTCATCCTGAAAGCACGGATGCTCGCGAAGGTTTCTTCTAGATCCGAGATCAAATGTCACGTCCTGATAAATTCATCCCGAATTAAAATTCATTTTCTAAAAGGAATAATAGAATTAATTAAAATTCGAAAAGAAATTGGCAAACCCTAAAATACGTACAAGAAAAATTCAAATGTGGCCCGGAGAATTTTTGTTAAATTCTCCTTGGTCTAAAAGGAGCCCTCAAATTTTAGTGGAATTTTCAGAGCACAAATAATAATTATTAAGAAATGAACAAAGTTAAAAAGGTTTATAAAAAGAAAAAAAAATCCTAAAAAAAAAAGTCCTCTTTCCCCCCCCCCTTCCTTCTTGGGCCGGCTCGGCCCAGTCCCTCCCTCTCTCTCTCTTCCCCCGCGGCCCATCGGCCTCCCCGCGCGCGCGCGCCGCTGACAGGCGGGCCCGCCCGCCACTCTCGCTGACGGGTGGGACCCACCTGTCATCTCCCTCCTCGCGCCGCGCCCGCCGCTCGCCCGTGCCCTAGCGCCGCCGCCGCCGCGAATCTCGCCGCCTCCCGCCGTCCCCGCGCGCATTAAAGTGGGGGGAATTATTCCCCGCGATTCCCTCTCCCGTTTCCCCCACTTTCCCCTCTCTCTCTCCCTCGGATCCGTTTGGAATCGTTCCCGCAAAGTTCGCCGGCGCTTTCAATGGAGCCGAGATCTCCGCGACCGATTCCTCTCTCTCCGGCCGCCCTCTCTCCCTCCCGACGCTATAAAATCGTCCCCCGTGCTTCGCTCTTCCGTTTCCGCCGCTCGCCGCTCGCTCTCGCCGTCGGATTCGTGCTCGCGCCGTGCTCCTCTCTCTCCGCCGTCGCCGCCGAGCTCCGTTTCGCCGCCGTCGTCGCTCCGGTCCTCCTCCCGACTCGGCGTCACCTCCTTCCGCGTCGCCGCGTCGCCGTCGACCCCGTCCGCCGCTCCGCTTCGCCCGCCGACCGCCGGAGCACCGTCGCCCTCGGCATCCCGAACCGCGCCGCCGCCTTCCTCCGCTCCGGCCGTCGTTTCCGCCGTCCTCGTTGTCCCGGGGTGAGCCGAGGACCGCCCTTTCGCTTCCCTCTCCTCTCCGCTCTCTCGGGCGCCGCTCCGCCGCGCCGGTGGTCGCCGGCGGTGACCATCGGGGCGCGGGCGCGCCGCTCCCGTCGGCCGTGCCGGCGAGGCCGCCTTCGGGCGCGCCCCGCGGCTGCCAGGTGGGCCCGGCCGTCAGCCGCCCGCGCCCGCGGGTGCGGCTGACGCGTGGGACCCACGGCGCCGACCGCCGCCAGCCGCGTGCTCCCGGTCCACCGTGGACCGAGAGGCTGACGCGTGGGCCCCACTTCCCGTGGACCCGGTCCGCGCGCCCCTCTCCCGGCTGACGCAATAATGAGATTTTTAATTAAAATTTAAATGAAGAAATTCGTAAATATCCATTTAAAGAGCATATAAACTTCAAATGGCCATATCTTGGCCATTCGAACTCGGAATTGGACCGTTCAAGTCTCTAATTTTTCCTTAAGAAGTCAAGAACCCATTTTTGTGCTTTGTTCCTGCTTGTTGTATGGAGTTTATTAGAGTAAAAGCCTTTTCTTTTCCGTTGGTCGTGTAGACGCTGCAGCTTCGGAAGATCCGCTCTTCGTGGAAGTCGAAGCCGTCGTTTGGGAAAGCGAGCAAGGCAAGTCACATCATCCTTGATCATATTGAATCCCAGTTTGTAAAATTATGTTGATTTAAATTATTGCATTATCGCTTTATTTAAATTCCCGCGTTATCACTGTTTTATTTAGCCATGCCTATTTACCTTTGTTATGACCATATTATTATTGTTATTGTTATTATTATTACCTTGTTCACCCTAGATTAAACAAAACCTCAACTAGTGGACACTCTACTCGTGGTATCCCTAGTTTAAATTTAGGTAGATGCTTCGCAATTTAATTAGGCAACATTAGGTGGTTTTATAACTTTAGACTTTGGGAATTCTCATATCATTTGGACACTATGGAATGGTTGGCTTATGTTGGAATTGGACAAACACCTCTCTTCCTCTTTCAAAACCCCTAAAACCTGTTTTCGGTGGGGTTTGGGTGCATGCCAGTTGTGGGAAGTAGCACCCCGGCCACTATAAGGATTAAGCTCGGGCCTCTGTTGCAAAGCACTACCGTACTTCCACATGTCTAATGGGTAAGGCTTAGTTTGTGGCTCAGTCTAGTCATAAACAAAAGTACACGGATTGGAGATGGATGAAGTCGGGCGTCGATGGACATTCTCCAGGGCAAATGAAGGCTACACGAGCTGCGGCCCGGTAGTCGAGATGTCATACGGCAGAGGGTTGGTGCCCTGCTGCTAGGGGCTCAGTTCTGCCTGCCTGTCCCGGGTATCCCGGCCGTAGGTGGGATTGGGTCGGTACTCTTGTCTAAGGCTAGGATGGGTTGGAAACTATGTCACGTCTTCCGTCCGTATACCGTGGTGGTATGTGGCACGTGGTAACACGTGAGGAAGATGTGTCTTGTGGGTAAAGATGTACACCTCTGATCAGAGTAAATCTATTCGAATAGCCGAGCCCTCGGATATGGGCAAGCCTAGCAATGTACCCAAGTCAGTGTTCTAATTCTTAAAATTTGCTCAACAACTAAAATGTGGAATGGTTGGCCTGGGTTGGCTTGGGACGAGCTGGGACCCAGGGTCGGGTTGCCAGTTCGGTCTGAATCATCGTAGGCCTTGGGTTAAGGCAGGTTCGTGAGGGTTCACGGCCTTGATTAATAATACTGTGTAGCTCTAGGATCGTCTTTATAAAATGGCTTTGGGCAACTAAGTGACTTTTAAATGCTGTTTACTGCAAAACTTAACCTCTATGTTATTATCCCCTTGTACTCCCTTGCATTAATTGAGCATCTCCGGTGTGGCTTGCTGAGTACTGTGGTTGTACTCATTCTTGCTCTATCTTTCTCCCCCCTTCAGTAAGAGAAGCTTTGGAGAAGATGTCTTAGGTGGAGTCCTGGCTTATACCCCAGTTGAGCGCCTGTGAAGATGGAGCCGTAGGCCCGCTAGTCCGCTGCTGTTTATTTTTGATTGTCAGGCCTGAAGCGCCTTTGTAATAATGTAAATATTATCGATATAATAAAGATGTGTCTTTTATATCATGTTTGTGTGGTGTACCCCGGCTTTTCCTGGGACGGGGATTAATACACTAGCGTTCGGGAAAAGGCAATTTTCCCGGTCGCGACATCAAATCATCCTTTTGCTTGGTCTTGACGACTACATCATCCACATAGGATTCAACGTTGCGGCCGATCTGCGTTGAGAAGCATCTCTGGATCATACGTTGATAAGTTGCTCCTGCGTTTTTTAGTCCGAACGGCATGGTGACGTAGCAGTATGCTCCAAAGGGCGTGATGAATGAAGTCTTCAAGCAGTCGGATTCCTTCAGTCGGATCTGATGATACCCCGAGTAGCAATCCAAAAAACTGAGAAGCTCGCAGCCAGCGGTCGAGTCGACTACCTGGTCAATGCGAGGCAACCCAAAAGGATCTTTAGGGCAAGACTTGTTGAGGTCAGTATAATCAACACACATGCGCCATTGCCCCGTTTTCTTCCGAACTAGAACCGGGTTTGCCAGCCAGTCGGGATGAAGGACTTCTTTGATGAAGCCTGCCGCTAACAGCTTGGTTAATTCTTCCTTGATCGCGTCCTTCCTGTCTTGTGCGAATCGGCGGAGTCGTTGTTTGATAGGCTTGGCATCTTCTTTGACATGCAAGGAGTGCTCAATCACCTCTCTAGGAATACCGGGCATATCAGATGGTTTCCATGCAAAGATATCTTTATTGTTCTGAAGAAAGGTGATGAGCGCGCTTTCCTATTTACAATCTAACTCGGCGCCTATTACAGCAGTTTTAGTAGAATCAGAAGGATCTAGGGGAATCTTTTTAGTCTTGGCTTCGCTTTCTCCACTCTTTGAAATCTTGGTAGCGGGCACTTCTCCTTCGCTCGCCGTGGCTGCAGCCAGTCGGATATCCTCTCGGGCAGACGCCATCTCGCGGGTTTGGGCCATGTCGCAACTCTCCTTGTCGCATGTGACGGCTTGCTTGATGTCGCTTCGTAGGGATAGTACTCCTCGGGGACCAGGCATCTTCATCATCATATAAGTGTAGTGCGGGACGGCCATAAACTTGGCTAACGCCGGGCGTCCGAGTATGGCATGGTATGCTGTCTCGAAATCGGCGACTTCAAAGCTGATATTCTCTGTGCGGAAGTTTTCCCGAGTGCCGAAGGTGACCGGGAGGGTGATCTGGCCGAGTGGAGTTGCGGATAATCCTGGAATTACTCCGTGAATTTGGACTGAATATAGGATATACCATATCTACACGGCGATGGAATTTGGACTGAATATAGGATACCGAATATAGATAGAATATCTTATTTGTATCTCGGGTTTGTTTCTCAACTTGTACATCAAGGAAACACCTTGAGACTTAGTCGGTTACGACTGTATTTTATCTGTATCTGCATATTCCGTTAGGGATATAGATTATCTTTTGTAACACGGACTCCTTCCCATATATAAGGGGGGTCCGGGTGCCTCTAGGGGCAGAGGTTGATTTTCTCCAAATCATACAACCAATAAGACACTCGGCGGATTCATCCCCGGACAGGAGTAGAGTATTACTTCTTGAATAAGAAGGCCTGAACCTGTATAAATCTTTTGTCTCCAAACCCATACACTTTTCCAGCTTGATAGCCACCCCCTTTTATTATTGCCGAAATCTAGTTTCGACAGTTGGCGCGCCAGGTAGGGGTGCGTCGAGTTCCTCGTCGACGAGTGCGATGGAACCAATCTTCAAATCACCGGATGCATCTTGTGTCCATGCATGCCTGGGATCGATCAGCAGAGAAGCGGGCATACGTGCATTGCTATATGCATCTAATCTTCCTGCTACATGCTAATTAGATTGATTTTGGATTATAGATTATTAATCTTAATTTTGCTGGTTATTTTTGCCTGCATGTCTGCACCGGTTGACGAGGACTGATGATCATGATCACTGTCGCATCGCCTTACTGATCGCAGAAACCGCTGCGAGCCGCTGCACGTCAAGAAGCCGTCCACGCTGAGAACGCGCGAGACCACCGGCCGACAGCCGCCGCACACGACCTCGCGCGGTTTCGCGATCAGGCCGTCCGTCTTGGTTGCATGCAATGCAAGTATACTAGGGGAACGGCGCCGGATGCCCGGGGGCTTCATCCTTGCGTGGCTGACGCGGCCCGACTACACCCGTGGCGCGTGCGTCCGCGGGCATCCTGCCGCGTGCTCGGGAGGTCTCACCAACCGGCCTGCCTCCGTCGCCGCCGACTGGTGTCTCCGCCTACACGGTTGGCCTATTATGCCGCCGTTGTTGGGCGTCTACGACTTCACCCTCGGCCTGCCTCCGTCGCCGCCGACTGGTGTTTCCGCCTGCACGGCTGGCCTTTATGCCGCCGTTGTTGGGCGTCTACGACTTCACCCTCGGCCTGCCTTCGTCGCCGCCGACTGGTGTTTCCGCCTGCACGGCTGGCCTTTATGCCGCCGTTGTTGGGCGTCTACGACTTCACCCTCGGCTTGCCTCCGCCGCCGCCGACTGGTGTTTCCGCCTGCACGGCTGGCCTTTATGCCGCCGTTGTTGGGCGTCTACGACTTCACCGCCGGCCTGCCTCCGTCGCCGCCGACTGGTGTCCTCGCCTATACGGTTGGTTGGTCACACCACCGTTCATGGGCGTCCACGTCTTCGCCGACCGGCTGGCCTTCGCCGCCGCCGACTGGTGTTTCTGCCTACACGGCTAGCCTATTATGCCACTGCTGTTGGGCGTCTATGACTTCACCGCTGGCCTGCCTCTGCTGCCACTGACTGGTGTTTTTGCCTATAGGGTTGGCGGACTCCGCCGCTGTTAATGGGCTTCATCATCTACACCACTGGCTTGGTTCCACTGGCGCCGACTGGTGTTTTTGTCACCATTGATGGACTGCTTTATTCCCACATCGGCTACTTCTGCTGTCATCGAGGGAATATTACAAAGCTAAGTCATCATTTATTTTATTCTTTATATGATATTTTTCCTTTTCCTCTGCCTCACTACACCAATTGGTCTTCCATTGAGTAGTGAGTCGGGGGCTACAGATGTTATATCATATTTTTTTATAATATTTATCTTGATTGCTTGCGACATAATCTGAGTACAAAAGTACCTATCGAGTTATGGAGTTCTATCTTCCTATGCTTTCCGTTTGGTTTGCCAATGGATGGTTGCCTTTGGGCCGATTCCTAGCACCCGGGGGCTCGTTGGATGGACCGAGTAACGCAAGGTGCTAAGTATTATTCGGAATAAATCAAAAGCATAGAGATAAAATAAATTTATTTTCTGCTCTTTACAATTACAAAAGTACCCGAGTAGTAAATTCTGATTCGTGAAACTTTGTTCCATTAATGACGAACTCATGTCACTCATATGCATGTTTGGGAAGTGCCTAGGCCGACTCCCGATGCTTGGGGGCAATGACAAGTCGGACAGAGTGTTTAAACGTACAGAGTCATCTGCTCGGGGAAATCAAAATTGACAAGAGGAGAAATACATATTTATAAATATTTTAAAATACTTGATTTTTTCTCGAGTATTATATTTATATCAGATACTACTCATCCTATATGTTTGTTCTGCAGGATCCAGATCCAGATATGCATAAAAGGGATTCATGGCTTTAAGCTTATCTCTTACGCTCCAGGAATGGATCAGTCAGAACATCACCGACCGGCTTGCCTTCGCCGCCGCCGACTGGTGTTTCCGCCTGCACGGCTGGCCTTTATGCCGCCGTTGTTGGGCGTCTACGTCTTCACCGACCGGCTTGCCTTCGCCGCTGCCGACTGGTGTTTCCGCCTGCACGGCTGGCCTTTATGCCGCCGTTGTTGGGCGTCTACGTCTTCACCGACCGGCTTGCCTTCGCCGCCGCCGACTGGTGTTTCCGCCTGCACGGCTGGCCTATTATGCCGCCGTTGTTGGGCGTCTACGTCTTCACCGACCGGCTTGCCTTCGCCGCTGCCGACTGGTGTTTCCGCCTGCACGGATGGCCTTTATGCCGCCGTTGTTGGGCGTCTACGTCTTCACCGACCGGCCGCCGCATCCGCCGCTGACTGGTGTCACCGCCTGCACGGCTGGCCTGTTATAACGCCAACTGATGCTATATTCTTCACGGCTGGCTACATCGCTGTCACTACTAATAGGCATCAGTATCTTCAACACAAGCTGCCTACGTTTGCCATGGCTGCCGACTGGTGTTTCCGCCTGCACGCTGGCCTATTATGCCACCGTTGATGGGCGTCTACGTCTTCACCGACCGGCTTGCCTTCGCCGCCGCCGACTGGTGTCTCCGTCTGCACGGCTGGCCTATTATGCCGTCGTTGTTGGGCGTCTACGACTCCACCACCGGCCTGCCTCCATCGTCGCCGACTGGTGTTTCCGCCTGCACGCTGGCCTATTATGCCACCGTTGATGGGCGTCTGCGTCTTCACCGACCAGCCTGCCTTCGTCGCCGCCGACTGGTGTCTCCGTCTGCACGGCTGGCCTATTATGCTGTCGTTGTTGGGCGTCTACGACTCCACCACCGGCCTGCCTCCATCGCCGCCGACTGGTGTTTCCGTCTGCACGGCTGGCCTATTATGCCGTCGTTGTTGGGCGTCTACGACTCCACCACCGGCCTGCCTCCATCGTCGCCGACTGGTGTTTCCGCCTGCACGCTGGCCTATTATGCCACCGTTGATGGGCGTCTGCGTCTTCACCGACCAGCCTGCCTTCGCCGCCGCCGACTGGTGTCTCCGTCTGCACGGCTGGCCTATTATGCTGTCGTTGTTGGGCGTCTACGACTCCACCACCGGCCTGCCTCCATCGCCGCCGACTGGTGTTTCCGTCTGCACGGCTGGCCTATTATGCCGCCGTTGTTGGGCGTCTACGTCTTCATCGACCGGCCGCCTCGTCCGCCGCCGACTGGTGTCACCGCCTACACGGCTGGCCTATTATGCCGCTGTTGTTGGGCATCTACATCTTCATCGCCGGTCGTCTCGTCTGCTGCTGACTAGTGCCCTTACCTCTACGTCTGGTTATACAGCTACCACTACTGATGGACATCATCGTCTTCCGTCGCCGACTGGTTATGCCGCCGCCGACTGGTGCTTTTATCTTCACAACTGCGCGTCTTCACCACCGGATTTCTACTTGGACATCTTCAACACATATCTTCAATCAAGCAATGACTATTCGACGACAAGAAGCTACAGTTCTCGACTCTATGTTCAGTTGTTTCCCAACTAATCAAAGAGTCGGGGGCTACACAAATACAAGGCTCAAAATTTGACAAATTTTATGTCAAGCTGAAGAAATCAATTCATCAACCAACGAGTCAACTCCAGGAGTCATTATCTTCATCTTTGATTCGGAGCAGACATTCTACTTCAACAACTTCAAATATTTTGGTTTGGACGAGTTAGACAACAACATCAACTCTCCTCCAAGTGAAGCATCTACAACAGCCATAACATTAATTTGATGGATTATTGTCACTGACATCATCACCAGCACCTCTGCTTCATCGGCCCTGACATCTCCGCTGTTGCTAATGGATGATTATGTTTTCGCCGACTTATTATTTCACCTTGACGGTTGACCTACTATGCAAATGCTGATGAGCGTCTTCGTCATTATCATTGGTTGCGACACTGCTATTGACTGGATCACCGACATCGTCATCTTCATCATGTCAGTTGCATTTGTCGTCGCCGACTATTTTCTTCATCTCCATGATTGGTGGATTTTGTCATCGCCTTTGATTTGCCTCGTCTGTCACCGACTGATTATTTCGCTGCCATGGCTACACAACTTTATCGCTGGGCGCTTTCATCTTCATTGATGGCTGACCTGACTACTGCCGACTGGTTTCTTCGCCTCCACGGCTGTGCAACTTCATCACTTTTGATTGGTATCATTATCTTCACTACCACCAATATTTTTGCCACCTCTGGTGGGCAATATTATCTCTATGTTGGTCGTCTTGTCTCTATGCCAACTGCGTCAGCTACCATCAATGGACAATTTTGACTATGACAGAAGGACAAGCTATATGCTCAGGGGCTCATCAACTCAAGCGTGAGGATTATATCTCCAATTTGGACTTGTTCCGGATACATTCCACATGGATTCATAGTCATGAGTCTATTTTCTATGCTCAAAGACTGGACCAATTATTATTCCCCGTAAGGGCTATCAACCGAATACTTGCGCCAGTCGGGATTCAATTATTATATATATTTTGGAGTATCTCATAAGGGATAATCACTCAGATCAGAAGCTATTCATATGAGCTACACCTGGTCTATATCACCCGGAAGATTTATTACTCGAGAGCATGTTACATGCGTCATCCTTTAAAGGGTGTCGAAGGCATATTTTTTGGTCTAGGCCTAATATGTCTGCAGCCCATATTTTCAGGTGTGGCCTGTCACGTTCTTTTAGGGACTTAGGCACTTTTCGCTTAGGCCAAAGTGCGCGTGATCAAGTGCCCAATACCTTAAAATCCTTTTATACCGCAGTTACTCGACTTTTTAGGAGTTGGTACAATGCATCTTAAAAGGTGTCAAACAGTAAAGCTTTATATAGCTGCTCCGCTGGCTTTTTTATATAGTCAAGTGCTGTTTGGGTTTATCAAGCAATTGATTGGATACAATATCATTGCTTTTTGCCACGTAAGTGTGCATTTTTATTGACCAATATTATGGCTTAGGCTGATTATATATTATGGTCATTTTTCAGGCGGTTGGTAAATCCTTTATGAGTTTACTTACTCGGATGTTATACCATATATGCCATATATTTCCAGGTGTGGTGAAACCATGTGTCTTTTAGGGACTTAAGCACATCTGTTAAAGCAGTGTGCGCATGGCGTATGCCCAATACTTTGGAAATTTCTTTATTCACAGCATTCAAGCTTCTTTATAATTGTTTTGCTATGTGAACTTTCAAAGATGTTGTCAACTTTAGGTTGTACGCATCATATTTTGCCAAGCAGTCAGTATATCACTTGGATCATATTATTCGGGGATTCACACCGCATATGCTATATATTGGTATCAAGTCACTTGGTTGACTATAATTATCAAAAACCACTCGGTTAATTGGATAATTTATTCCTTGACTATATGTTTAGCTTGTTCAGCTAATCACATAGTTGGGGGCTACACCTATTAGGTGCATCTATTCGATGCACCTGACTTTATTTTTCAGCCCTCCACAGTCTTCAGATTTGGTAAAAGTACTCGGGAGACCATGGCGAAGATGATTGAAGCACTCGGCTTTAGAGTAATCTAGTTCGAGAGAAGATTATATTTTCGACTGTGAAGGTCTCAGGGGCTACTGTGGAGATTATGGGTACCCCATACCCACACGGCATGGTTATCCGACTAGTAATAGGGGATAACATATATGTATGGAATATGTAACAGATCATGACTTGGGTATTACGTTTCCCTGTATATTATGGAACGGCCTAAAGTCCTGGTTTGATAAGATTGTAAAGTAGATTTAGGAAACCGATACCGTATTGGTTAAGGTTTCTATCTTGTAACCCTGCCCCCCAACCTATATAAGGAGGGCAGGGAGCCCCTCTAGGGGCATGAGACAACCTGATCGTCAGATCAATACACACTCGGCGGATTCAAATCCCCAAACAGGAGTAGGGTATTACCTCTCATTGAGAGGGCCTGAACCTGTCTAAATCCTTTGTCTCCACATCCATCCACTTTTAGGTCTCGTGCGCTACCCCGTTTTATTATTGCCGAATTCATGTTTCGACAGATGTGTTGCTTTGAGTTGAGCTATGCGAGGGGTCTTGTCACAACTACACAAATGGTGACATGTTCAGCATGGGCACATAGTGATATGGTGACATATTGTGGAGTTGTGTCTTGTGGGTAAATTTGTACACCTCTAGCCAGAGTAAAACTATTCGAATAGCTGTACTTATGGGCAATTTGTTTCCCTCTGAAAGAATGTTCTTAATGAGTTTTAATAAATCGCCAAATGCCTTTCTAAGTGGCGTTTAGATGCATATGTAGGTAGGTGGTGACGTCGAATCGTCGATGATGCATATCGGTGGTGGTGAGAATTCCAACATGAAGACCATCGCTGGAGCCACGAGGGCAGACCGAGGTTAACAATATGGTTTTGTTTCTACCAGTATAGACACTAAAGTCACCTAAAATCGGTGATTCCGATCAGATTTGAGATGACCTTTTAATTTCGACCATGAATTTTGCCGACAATGCACACAATACCTGCTAGTTTAATTCAAATTAGATGGCGCTATGTCCAACCCAAATTCTATTAAACTGTTTCCCATGATAATTATTCCCCTCCAATCCTACACTACTAGAAAAAGCATTTTCCCAAGCGGTCAAAATTGATTTTTGCAGGCAGAGGATTGGACCGCCTGCGAAAATCATCTATTTTCGCAGTCGGGGCAACAGCCCGCCTGCAAAAATCCATTCAAAAAAACAAAAAAAATCACGGGAGGCGGGCCGCCGCCGCCGCCCTCCTCCGGCGTCGCCGCGCCGGGCGGGAGGGGAGGGGAGGGGAGCCGCGCCGGTCGTCGTCGTCGCCACCGTCGTCATCGCGCCGTAGCCGCCGCCGCCCCGCGCCGTAGCCACCGCCGCCGGCCTCCCCCCTCCCTCCTTCGGCCAGATCTGGGAGGGAGGGGGGAGGGGAGCCGCCGCCGGGCCGCATCGTCGCTGCCGCCGCCGGACTCCGCCGCGGCCACCGGATGCCGCTGCCGCCCCGCCGCCTTCCGCGCTGCCCCGCGCGCGTAGCCGCTGTGGGAGAGGGTGAGGGCCTGAGGGGAGGAGATGTGAGGGGAGGGGAGGAGAGGGTGAGGGGAGGGGTGAGGATTTGGAACTTAGAAAAAAATCTACTCCTATCCCAGTCTATTTATATTCAAGTCTATTTTCGCAGGTGGAATGTAGATTTCACCCTGATTTATATTTTTGTAGGCGATCATTTGACTCTAAGGGTTATGCCCACCTGTGAAAATGAGACCCCCCACATCATGAAAAATGCTTTTTCTAGTAGTGCTACTCAATTCCGGTTATCCAATTGGAATTGGTAATTCGTGATGTTCGGGCCGAGAATGTGATTTTTGCATGTTAATAAAGCCGTTTGCCGTAAACATTGAATTTGTGTTGGAATAAATAAATTTGCTCCAGACTAGTTTTAACATAGTTCAATTTGAAAAAACAGAATAAATAAGTTTGCTGGAGACAAATTTTTTAGAGTAAAGTCCACTTTTTATTACCACTGTATCATTTTGAATTACCCTTTAACAAATATTTTCACTTTAAACCAGGTAAATATACTTTTGTGACACTTTGAACCACTCTAAACTATTTTATTCATCCTCGTCAACTTGTTATATGTCAAAGCAACAATCTAGTGTATTAACGAGTGCAAGCTAGTATATTCGGAATCATTCATATGTATGAGAAAAGAGTTAGTGTGATTCAAATTAAAACAAAGATAAGATTATGTAGTACAAAGTAAAATATTATTGTTTAAAGGGTGATCTAAAATAAAATATTAATAATAAAAGATGATCCAAAGTTAAATTTATTATGGAATTTCCATTCTCCACGATGGACTTGGCGAGGACCTCGAAGTTGCCGTTCGCGGCGCTCTCTCGACAGGGGCTTGGCGCGAGCCTGATAGCCCCGGCGGCGCCGTCTCGGTAGCCGGGCTCGGCTGACCCGAGGGCGGCGGTGTCTCGACGACCGGCAGCATCGACGGCTTCTTTTCCAAGACGATGACGTCGCAGCGGATCTGGAAGCGATCAGCCTTGACGAAGCCCCTCTTGCCGAGATCTTCACGTGACACGAACCGCTCGAAGCCGTGCGCGTTCCACCTCTTGTTGGCGGCGGCGACGACTCCGCCGGACATAAACTCCAGCCCGCGGCTGTCGCCGCTGTGTATTTCCAGCATGAACTGGTACTCGAACTTCACGTACCCGCCATCGTCTGGGGCATCGGCGAGCTGGAGGAAGAGCGACATGGAGTCCGTGGTGCCGGGGAGCCTGCCGTTGGGGTAGACGAGGATGTGCCATGAGTGGCCGCCGGCGTCGAGATTGGGGGACTTGATGTTCATGCCGTTGGCCGCCAGCTTCGTCGCCTCCTTGTAGCTGTCGATGTGCATCGTGAGGACCTTCTTGTTGGTCGCGTACAAAGTATCATCGAAGGCGGTGGTAGGGCGCGGAGGTGGCGGACAGTCGCCGGCTGGCTGCTCTTGGCGGCTTGCCGCTAGCGGAGGCGGCGTCGACGTGGACATGGCAGATCGGGCCGGACGTTGTTCGATCTGGGGAGGCAAAAACAAGAGGCAAATAAAACAGAGAGAGAGGGACGATGTATACAAACGATTTTATATATACCACCTTTAAGATATGGATCTCGATCGCTGGTAATTCTGCGTCCGTTCCGTCCGTTTGTTGCAGATTTCGTACTGGATACGGTCGATTACTACGATTATTTCCATGAATGGCTACGCGAGTCTCATCGACGCCTACAAAGTAAAGTTCCCACACTACGGCTAGCCCTCCGGAATCTTGATATTTAGGAGTATTAAACATAAATTACTGACAAAACTCATTTCATAACCTTAAGGCTATTTTGTGAGACGAATCTAACGAGGTATATTAATCCATGATTTGCTACAGTGATGCTACAGTAATCAATCACTAATCATAGATTAATATACATCATTAGATTCGTCTCGCAAAATAGCCTAGGGGTTATGGAATCGGTTTTGTCGATAATCTACGTTTAATACTCCTAAATAGCAAGATTCTGGAGGACTATTTAATAGCTCGGAGGATCCAAACAAAGCCTACATATGCAAAAAAAAAATCCAGCACAATTACCGTGTATTTCAAGCAAAGAGATTTTAATCACCGGAGTGGAATATCCACCCGGATTATTGCATACATCAACAAAATAATTATAAAAAATTAAAACTTTTGATATCTCTATTTCTACTAGCAAAAGTACACAAGCGCTGCAACGGGAAGTGTACAGACAAGAAAAATATGCAATTAATTAAAATACAAATTTGCTAAAATATTTGGTATTTTTAAGTAATAATTTTATTTCTCCTTAATACAAAGATGCGCTCCTTACGTATTCCCGAAAATTCACAAGTAAAGTAAGTGTGAGAAATAAAATGACATGGTTAAATTTAATTTTATTAAATTCTCCATGATTAGTTACGCTCTTTGGAATTTTATTGGAATTTTCAGAGCTTAATTGCTGATTTTAATAATGCAAACATTATTTAACAATTATTTAATTGGAAAAATAATCAAAATCTTTCCTTGTAGGTTTGGGCTGAATATGGAAAAGTTCATCGCGTTCCCTCTTGTCTATTCTATGTGGCTGGCCTGTTTCCTTCTGCGTTCAAGTCCATTTTGCATCCTCTTGCTACACACGGTCCATCCGGCGGCTCAACGGGCCGGTGGCCCGACGCGGGGGAAGCTGGAGCCGTCCGATCGAATGGATGGTCTAGATTAATCCTAACCTAAATAAATAGTGGGCACCCAAAACCTAACCCTAATTTCATTCCTCCCCCTACCCCCCCGGTGCTCGACCTTCCCCCGAGCAGCAGCGGCGGCGCCCTTCCTCCCATGAGCAATGGCGGTGCCCTCCCCCACCACCGGCGGCGGATCTAGCGGGAGGGGAGGCGACGGCGCGCTCCCCTCCGCCGGATCCAGCGGGAGGGGAGCCGCCGGCGACCTGGCGTCCCTGCGACGGTGACGGCGCCAACGGTTCGGCGACAACCCCTTCGATCTAATTTTTGGATATATTTGCGTATATGCTTTCTCCGGTTTTATTTGTGTGATTGAATTCCGATTGACATTTTTTTTGGGGGGGGGGCGGGGGTGGGGTTGATTGAATTCCGATTAGAATTTGGGGGTGCGACGGACGAAAAATTGGTGTACATTCGAGGTGATGAACAGAAAAATACGAATCTTTTAATTTGTTAAGCTCTCTATCTCTATTTCTATCAATATCTCTATCTCTATCTATACTACTTAAAAAAATAAGAGGTGTTTATGTCATCTTTGCGAAAAACCGGGCAAAAAAACCGAAAAAAATACGAATCTATCAGATAAAAAAAGGGGTGAAAAAAAGGGCAAAAAGAAAAATGAATCCAACTCCGTCGACGCGGTAAAAAGAGGGCGAAAAAAATAAAAAAAAAACAAATCTGTCCGATTAAAAAAAATTATGTGGCGTGTTGTCCGTGCGAAAAAAACGGGCGAAAAGAAAGACGCGATAAAAACTAGACAGTCCCAAAAAGGGAATTGCTAAAACTGGCTGCGTGCTGATGTATTTGTCTTTGTTAGCTGAATTTGTGGCCATGGATTTTTTTTTGTTCAAGATTCGTGCACAAGCCAAGCCCAAGTAAGAGAGAAGGCCCCCGTGCTCCTGTTGTTCACGGGCCCAGCCCAAATCAGAGAGATGCGACCCCGTTTCGTCGTGCCGTCGTCGTGTCCTCTCTTCAGCCACACACGCGCCCACCTCGCCGATTTCTCCTCCACGCACGGGATGAACTCATGAAAGAGTGAGTAACCCGAGAAGCTGTCAGTGAGAGAGAGAAGCCGTCGATGGGGGAGGAGGCGGCGAAGCGGCAGCAGCATCCGCGATGATGTCGGCGTCCGTTCCGCCGGGCGGAGCCCCTGGTCACGGCGGAGCCCGCGGCCAAGGATTTGCGCCGTGTTTTTGGTATTCTTTTTTCGTTCCAATTTTTTTTTCTTGGGGGAATGGAGCAGGCAGCTTGTGGGAGCTAGATAGATCAAAGGACCATGTATTTCTCACCGATCTGTTGCAGGGAATGGAGCTTAAGGAGTTTCCGATAGATAAATTTCTGCATTCTCTTATAACCTTTGCAGTTGATGCTCTAGTTTGAGGTAGGGAAGGATCTTCTGCCTATTTTTATTTGCGAAGGATGTTATCTATAACATCATTTTTTTCAAAAAAAAAAAAAAAAACTTGGTGTTGTGATGTTAGCTGAAAGATCGTTATGCTGGATCTTTTTGCTGATATCATGTGAGCTCTCTGCAGAGCCATGACTGTATGAACTGTCTCTCTGATTTATTTTTTGTTTGTGATTTTTCCAGAAAAAAAAACTTGAGATACAGATTCATACTAAACAGAAATTGAGTGCTCTTGGCATGGAATAGTAAAGAACGTGTGTCAGGGCTATTTGTTTTTGTGCATACCAGTTTCTACGGTGGTGAACCTAGAACAAAAATTAACCGGGTCCCATACATAATAATTATCTAATTTTTAACTGATATACTAATTAACATAACATAAATTAGTTAGAATTAGATAATCTACCCAGGCTCACAGGATTTTTAACATGACATAATTTTTATCACTTTTGTAATTTTGTTTTTGTTTTGTTTTTTGTGTTTTTGTTTTATTTTGCTTTTGAAATAATTTCTTTTGTGTTTTTGTTTTTTGTTTTTGTCATATAAAATGAGTATAGTTTATTTGTTTTTGTCAATTTTTTTTTACTTTTGATGAAATGAGCATATTTTCTAAAGTAACAAAATGTTTGGTGCTGATTTGCGCTGCCATGGTTCTTGCTATTTCTGAGAGGATTTGTTTTTGTTTTTGTTCGATTTTTAGAACTTTGGTACATAATAATCAAGCTGATGCGCTATTTACATGATAGTAACTATAAAATCAATTTTGTTTCTCTGCCAGTTCTTGTAATTTTTACTAAGAAATGTCAAATTTCACTTGATAAAGTTTTATTTATTGCTATTTTTGTGAGCTATTAGTAGTACATTGTTTTGTCGGCCATTTATATTTTCTATGGGAGTCGTGTTTTGCTTCGACTGGTGTGGGAGGAACGCTTTGTCTGCAGATTTTTTTATTTTTATGTTGTGTCAGATCAGGTTAGCCGAGGAATTCAGTTGACTTTGAGAATGTTAAAAGTATTTAGTTTCGTTAGAAATAAGTTTGTTAGCCCTATTTTGTTTAAGCCTAGTTGTGTCAGGTCGCGATTGGGGGGTTGACGAGTTGTCCCGATACAGCATGGCAGTGGTGAACCGACAAGAAGCCACTGATGATGGAGGGGGAGTGGAAGAGGAGATAAGAAAGGAAATAATGCTCGGAAGCCTACTAGAGGGTGCGCGATTGGGCAAATAAGCCTAGACATAGGGGCGTGTGTTTGGGCGAAATGCTTGCAGCTTGCGGGGCAGCAGGAGGTGATTTTAGAGTTTGCTTCAAAAAATAAAAGTAAGTGATCATAATCTATTTGCTTGGTCATGTAGATAGAATCTTATAAAACTAGTTGATACCCTGCGCGTTGCTGCGGGCATAGAAGTACAATTATCAATGTGCAACATTAGTGCAAACAATCTAAATAAATTTGCTTATAATTTGCTGAGAATCTCTTAATGATAGTTCTGATCCCACTGATGTATGATAGTATATGAAATCTTCATCTGCTGGCCGAAATTTCAAAATAGAGAAACAATAGTATACAGTAAAGATCTGATTGCTTGTGAACGTTTAGAATGAAAGAAACAAAAGCCTAAAAAATTATATATTTATTAGGCATCATTACTATAATTCATAAAATTGTATACTTCCAGATCATGGATTGCTGCATACCTTAGCAAAAATAAACCTTCACCTAATGTGGATGGTTCAAAATCTAAAAGATGACCCAATTTTATATATGAGCATTGAGGGAAGCATCAAGCATACATAGGAGTTGGGCACTTGACATCCGGATCACTTATAGTATTTGTTAAGAGATTACCAACAAAATAATTCCATTTAATCAATTGAAATGTGAATGGGATCATGGCACCTGAAAGCTTAACTTTCTATATGCCCTCAATCTGTCTGAAATATCATAGCTCAAATTGTATACCAAATTACCAACTGCATATATGACTTATGAAACAAAAGCAGTTACAAATTAGATGGAATAGCATAAAACAAATATGTGCAGATTGATCTGGCTCTAGCTTTAGAAATACAATTACATATTACATATATTTGAGCTATCCAATTTTAAGAGTTTTTCAGCTCATCTGCAACAGAAAATATGTAAAGTATAAAACCCGTCACAGATTTTTTTTTAAATGAACTGGCACCGGTGTGTCAATTTCATTGAATATATAGTGGAAAAAAAAGGGGCAACAATTACACGAAACCCGCCACAAAATTTCGCTGTAAAAAAACCCATCTAATGGGGGTTAATCAAAGTATCCAGATAGTTTCTCAAATAGAAATATTTAATATGGGATATTTTCAAAAAGCTTATATGAAATGGAGAAAAACAGCCAGACCTAAAATCTTAGCCAAAGAACAATATATTTTGGATCCACAGATGGCCTTCACCTGAAAATCCTGTTAATTAGAACTCTGGAGTAAATGATGCATGCAGACAATTAGAGACTGAAGGTTGCAAAGTCAAGGTCTTAGTGTAGCATCTATTAACTTGTAATCAACAGGAAACAAACAGGGATCATCAAGGAACTCACGAATGCTTAGAATTTTAGGAGCGGATGATTCGATGGCTGCTTACCACCTCAATTTACTGGCAGTGCAGCTTTAAAGCCCATGAAAGTGGACTGGGATAGGAGATAATTAACAGAAACATGAGACATATCAGAGATGATGTAAAAATCTCTATGCAAAGGAACACAACAACTGCTTTGTTTGGTGCCTACACATTGCAATGTATATCAACCAATCAGATATGGGAACAAAGTATCATCAAAGAAGGTCAGCTACATGGGTATCATCAAAGAACTTAAGAACTTCCTGGACCTGGTTGGCACTATATATCGCTGACGCGGGCGATAAGATGAGGGCGAGAGAGACATCGAGCAGTGCCGGCTCCCAATCTCCCATCGATGCGCTGAACTGATGAGGCTAGCTAGGACAGCTAGCTGCTGATAGAAACGTATGTTGCCAGCAGCTAGATCAACGATGATATCGCAGAGATTAGTGGTGGAATAAAAACATGCGTTAGGTGAAAGGAGCATAAAAAGGAATTAAACATGGCATTAAAATTTAAACATAGCCCCTCGGCTTCCCTTTGATGGCGACGGTTTCATTGACGGACAATACGATTATTATTCAATCGGTTTCATAAAAAAAAAATCATAGAAGAAGAAGAGATCATGCCTGGTCGATGGGGGGAGACGGTGGATGCTATTCATGGTGAGCTGAAGAGTGAAGAGGATGCACGACGCCGACGCTCCACCTCGCCGCGCGCTGTCCCTACCACCACCTGCATGCGACCGCGCCGCACTACGCTGCCGGCGCCGCTCCGACTCAGGAAGTCAGGAGGATGAGACCCACCGAACCCTAAATCCTTCATTGGGCTGCGATAGACGGCCTCCTGGGCTGCGATAGATTGACATGGGCCTCCTGTGGTGGAAGCAATATATGGACCTCACGTGCTGTGTTCAATCAAACCTGAGTTTTTTCATCCGACGGTTCAGATGAGATCTAATATACCGATCCAACGGTTGTGAATTAATGATGACGTGGAACATTGAGGTGTGAGCTTTAGGAGTTAATTGCACTTAGTGGGGGATAACTTTATAGAAAGAAGGGATATTATATGGTTATCTCAAAGTAGATAGGAGTTACATTTTGTATCATTTTGTGAGCTATTAATTTATTTGTATGTGATTTTGATATTGAGAAATGGGTATTTGTTATGAGAACTTCTTTTCCACAGTTTACATCTGTGGATATTATGGGTACCCCATACCCATACGGCATGGTTATCCGACTAGTCATAGGGGATAACTTATATCTATGGAATATGTAATAGATCATGACTCGGGTATTACGTTTCCTTATATATTACGGAACAGCCTAAAGTCCTGGTTTGATAATATTGTAAAGTAGATTTAGGAAACCGATACCGTATTGGTTAAGGTTTCTATCTTGTAATCCTGCCCCCCACCCTATATAAGGTGGGCAGGAGGCCCTCTAGGGGGCATGAGACAACCTGATCGTCAGATCAATACACATCCGGCGGATTCAAATCCCCAAACAGGAGTAGGGTATTACCTCTCATTGAGAGGGCCTGAACCTGTCTAAATCCTTTGTCTCTGCATCCATCCACTTTTAGGTCTCGTGCGCTACCCCCTTTTATTATTGCCGAAATCATGTTTCGACAGTTGGCGCGCCAGGTAGGGGCTGCGTCGAGTTTCCTATCAACGAGCGCGATGGAATCAATTTCATGAGTCGCCGACTTCGCTTTCGCTTTGGGAGTTTTCACTTCCTTTCCGTCGACCACTTCTTCAAGCTCCTCTTCTCTGACTTGATCCAAATCAGTCAGGGGGAAACTCAATCTGATTTTTATCATTATTTATCATATTGATTTTTAATCTCAGATTAATTTCTTGCTATTTTTTGTTGTTGTTCGCATATAACTACGCGGCACTATTGAGGCGATTGATGCTGGTCATGGACTCGAGGCGTCTCAGCTTTCCGGTCGATCGGCCGCGAGTCCACTCCGCCGGCTTGTCCTCGCCACCGCCATTGCTGATAGCAACATCTACACCGCCTACACGGCTGGCCTATTATGCCGCCGCTGTTGGGCGTCTACGACTTCACCGCCGGCCTGCCTCCGTCGCCGCCGAGTGGTGCCTCCGCCTACACGGCTGGCCTATTATGCCGCCGCTGTTGGGCGTCTACGACTTCACCGCCGGCCTGCCTCCGTCGCCGCCGAGTGGTGCCTCCGCCTACACGGCTGGCCTATTATGCCGCCGCTGTTGGGCGTCTACGACTTCACCGCCGGCCTGCCTCCGTCGCCGCCGATTGGTGCCTCCGCCTACACGGCTGGCCTATTATGCCGCCGCTGTTGGGCGTCTACGACTTCACCGCCGGCCTGCCTCCGTCGCCGCCGAGTGGTGCCTCCGCCTACACGGCTGGCCTATTATGCCGCCGCTGTTGGGCGTCTACGACTTCACCGCCGGCCTGCCTCCGTCGCCGCCGAGTGGTGCCTCCGCCTACACGGCTGGCCTATTATGCCGCCGCTGTTGGGCGTCTACGACTTCACCGCCGGCCTGCCTCCGTCGCCGCCGAGTGGTGCCTCCGCCTACACGGCTGGCCTATTATGCCGCCGCTGTTGGGCGTCTACGACTTCACCGCCGGCCTACCTCCGTCGCCGCCGAGTGGTGCCTCCGCCTACACGGCTGGCCTACTATGCCGCCATTAGTGGGCATCTTCGCTTTCACCGTCGACCGCCTTCGTCGCCGCCGACTGGTGTCTTCATTGTTATTGATAGACGACTTTGTTCCCACATTGGCCACTTCTGCCATCACCAAGGGGAATATTACAAAGCTAAGTCATCATTTATTTTATTCTTTATATGATATTTTTCCTTTTCCTCTGCCTCACTACACCAATTGGTCTTCCATTGAGTAGTGAGTCGGGGGCTACAGATGTTATATCATATTTTTTATAATATTTATCTTGATTGCTTGCGACATAATCTGAGTACAAAAGTACCTATCGAGTTATGGAGTTCTATCTTCCTATGCTTTCCGTTTGGTTTGCCAATGGATGGTTGCCTTTGGGCCGATTCCTAGCACCCGGGGGCTCGTTGGATGGACCGAGTAACGCAAGGTGCTAAGTATTATTCGGAATAAATCAAAAGCATAGAGATAAGATAATTTATTTTCTGCTCTTAATAATTGCAAAAGTACCCGAGTAGTAAACTCCGATCCGTGAAACTTTGTTCCATTAATGACGAACTCATGTCACTCATATGCATGTTTGGGAAGTGCTTAGGCCGACTCCCAGTGCTTGGTGGCTATGACTAGTCGGGCAGAGTGTTTAAACGTAATGAGTCATCTGCTCGGGGAAATCAAAATTGACAAGAGGAGAAATACATATTTATAAATATTTTAAAATACTTGATTTTTTCTCGAGTATTATATTTATATCAGATACTACTCATCCTATATGTTTGTTCTGCAGGATCCAGATCCAGATATGCATAAAAGGGATTCATGGCTTTAAGCTTATCTCTTACGCTCCAGGAATGGATCAGTCAGAACATCACCACCGGCTCGCCTCGACCGCCGCCGACTGGTGTTTCCGCCTGCACAGCTGGCCTATTATGCCGCCGTTGTTGGGCGTCTACGTCTTCACCGACCGGCTCGCCTCGACCGCCGCCGACTGGTGTTTCCGCCTGCACGGCTGGCCTATTATGCCGCCGTTGTTGGGCGTCTACGTCTTCACCGACCGGCTTGCCTTCGCCGCCGCCGACTGGTGTCCTCGCCTGCACGGCTGGCCTTTATGCCGCCGTTGTTGGGCGTCTACGTCTTCACCGACCGGCTTGCCTTCGCCGCCGCCGACTGGTGCTTCCGCCTGCACGGCTGGCCTTTATGCCGCCGTTGTTGGGCGTCTACGTCTTCACCGACCGGCCGCCTCGACCGCCGCTGCCGACTGGTGTTTCCGCCTGCACGGCTGGCCTTTATGCCGCCGTTGTTGGGCGTCTACGTCTTCACCGACCGGCTTGCCTTCGCCGCTGCCGACTGGTGTTTCCGCCTGCACGGCTGGCCTTTATGCCGCCGTTGTTGGGCGTCTACGTCTTCACCGACTGGCCGCCTCGTCCGCCGCCGACTGGTGCTTCCGCCTGCACGGCTGGCCTTTATGCCGCCGTTGTTGGGCGTCTACGTCTTCACCGACCGGCTTGCCTTCGCCGCCGCCGACTGGTGTTTCCGCCTGCACGGCTGGCCTTTATGCCGCCGTTGTTGGGCGTCTACGTCTTCACCGACCGGCCGCCTCGTTCGCCGCCGACTGGTGCTTCCGCCTGCACGGCTGGCCTTTATGCCGCCGTTGTTGGGGATCTACGTCTTCACCGACCGGCTTGCCTTCGCCGCCGCCGACTGGTGTTTCCGCCTACACGGCTGGCCTTTATGCCGCCGTTGTTGGGCGTCTACGTCTTCACCGACCGGCTTGCCTTCGCCGCTGCCGACTGGTGTTTCCGCCTGCACGGCTGGCCTTTATGCCGCCGTTGTTGGGCGTCTACGTCTTCACCGACCGGCCGCCTCGACCGCCGCCGACTGGTGTTTCCGCCTGCACGGCTGGCCTAGTATGCTGCCGTTGTTGGGCGTCTACGTCTTCACCGACCGGCTTGCCTTCGCCGCCGCCGACTGGTGTTTCCGCCTTCACGGCTGGCCTAGTATGCTGCCGTTGTTGGGCGTCTACGTCTTCACCGACCGGCTTGCCTTCGCCGCCGCCGACTGGTGTTTCCGCCTGCACGGCTGGCCTAGTATGCTGCCGTTGTTGGGCGTCTACGTCTTCACCGACCGGCTTGCCTTCGCCGCCGCCGACTGGTGTTTCCGCCTGCACGGCTGGCCTTTATGCCGCCGTTGTTGGGCGTCTACGTCTTCACCGACCGGCTTGCCTTCGCCGCTGCCGACTGGTGTTTCCGCCTGCACGGCTGGCTTAGTATGCTGCCGTTGTTGGGCGTCTACGTCTTCACCGACCGGCTTGCCTTCGCCGCCGCCGACTGGTGTTTCCGCCTGCACGGCTGGCCTATTATGCCGCCGTTGTTGGGCGTCTACGTCTTCACCGACCGGCCGCCTCGACCGCCGCCGACTGGTGTTTCCGCCTGCACGGCTGGCCTATTATGCTGCCGTTGTTGGGCGTCTACGTCTTCACCGACCGGCCGCCGCATCCGCCGCTGACTGGTGTCACCGCCTGCACGGCTGGCCTGTTATAACGCCAACTGATGCTATCTTCTTCACGGCTGGCTACATCGCTGTCACTACTAATAGGCATCAGTATCTTCAACACAAGCTGCCTACGTTTGCCATGGCTGCCGACTGGTTTCTTCACTTCCATGGCTGCATGATTCTGCCAGTGTTGATTGGCCTTACCATCTTCATCGCCGGTCGTCTCGTCTGCTGCTGACTAGTGCCCTCGCCTCTATATCTGGTTTATACAGCTATCACTACTGATGAACATCATCGTCTTCCGTCGCCGACTGGTTATGCTGTCGCCGACTAGTGCTTTTATTTTCACAACTGCGCGTCTTCACTACCAGTTTGCTTCTGTTGCCGACGACTCGTGTTCACTTCATCACGGCAATGCAACTTTGTCATCATGGTAGAGCGACTTCATCTTTATTATCTTCGGCACTGGCAAACTCTATTGCTGCTACTTCGCAAGTTTTGCTACTTCACCAACCACGACGTCTTTGTGAGCCTCGACATTTCGGCATACGATGCCATGTTATTTTACTACAACAAGAGGCTCTCCAACATTCATGATTTCTACTTGGACATCTTCAACACATATCTTCAATCAAGCAATAACTATTCGACGACAAGAGGCTACAGTTCTCGACTCTATGTTCAGTTGTTTCCCAACTAATCAAAGAGTCGGGGGCTACACAAATACAAGGCTCAAAATTTGACAAATTTTATGTCAAGCTGAAGAAATCAATTCATCAACCCACGAGTCAACTCCAGGAGTCATTATCTTCATCTTTGCTTCGGAGCAGACATTCTACTTCAACAACTTCAAATATTTCGGTTTAGACGAGTTGAGCAACAACATCAACTCTCCTCCAAGTGAAGCATCTACAACAGTTATAACATTAATTTGATGGATTATTGTCACTGACATCATCACCAGCACCTCTGCTTCATCGACCCTGACATCTCTGCTGTTGCTAATGGATGATTATGTTTTCGCCGACTTATTATTTCACCTTCACGGTTGACCTACTATGCAAATGCTGATGAGCGTCTTTGTCATTATCATTGGTTGCTACACTGCTATTGGCTGGATCACCGACATCGTCATCTTCATCATGTCGGTTGCGTTTGTCGCCGCCGATTATTTTCTTCATCTTCATGATTGGTGGATTTCGCCATCACTGTTGATGCGCGTCTACGTCTTCATCGTCGGTTTGCTTTTGTCATCACCGACTGTTTCTTCGCCTCCATGGTTATGCAACTTCATTACCTTTGATTGGTGTCACTGTTTTTTACTACCACTGACATCTTCCGTTACTTCTGATGAGCAATTTCGTCTTCATGTTGGTCATTTCATCTCCATGCCGACTGCGTCAGCTATTGCCAATAAACAATTTTGACTATGACAGAAGGACAAGCTATATGCTCAGGGGCTCATCAACTCAAGCGTGAGGATTATATCTCCAATTGGGACTTGTTCCGGATACATTCCACATGGATTCATAGTCATGAGTCTATTTTCTATGCTCAAAGACTGGACCAATTATTATTCCCCGTAAGGGCTATCAACCGAATACTTGCGCCAGTCGGGATTCAATTATTATATTTATTTTGGAGTATCCCATAAGGGATAATCATTCAGATCAGAAGCTATTCATATGAGCTACACTTGGTCTATATTACCCGGAAGATTTATTACTCGTGAGCATGTTATATGCGTCATCCTTTAAAGGGTGTCGAAGGCATATGTTTTGGCCTAGGCCTAATATGTCTGCAGCCCATATTTTCAGGTGTGGCCTGTCACGTTCTTTTAGGGACTTAGGCACTTTTTGCTTAGGCCAAAGTACGCGTGATCAAGTGCCCAATACCTTAAAATCCTTTTATACCGCAGTTACTTAACTTTTTAGGAGTTGGTACAATGCATCTTAAAAGGTGTCAAACAGTAAAGCTTTATATAGCTGTCCCGCTGACTTTTTTATATATAAGTCAAGGTGCTGTTTGGGTTTTTAAGCAATTGATTAGATACAATATCATTGTTTTTCGCCACGTAAGTGTGCATTTTTATTGACCAATATTATGGCTTAGGCTGATTATATATTGTGGTCATTTTCTAGGCGGTTGGTAAATCCTTTATGAGTTTATTTACTCGGATTTTACACCACATATACCATATATTTCCAGGTGTGGTGAAACCATGTGTCTTCTAGGGACTTAAGCACATCTGTTAAAGCAGTGTGCGCATGGCGTATGCCCAATACTTTGGAAATTTCTTTATTCACAATATACAAGCTTCTTTATAGCTATTTTGCTATATCACTCATCATATTTTACAAAGCAGTTGGTATATCACTCGGATCATGTTATTTGGAGGATTCACACCGCATATGCTATATATTGATATCAAGTCACTTGGTTGATTACGATTATCAAAACCACTCGGTTGGTTGGATTATTTATTCCTTGACTATATGCTTGGTTTGTTTAATTAACCACATTGTCGGGGGCTACACCTATTAGGTGCATCTAGTCGGTGCACCTGACTTTATTTTCCAGCCCTCCACAGTCTTCAGATTTGGTAAAAGTACTCGGGAGACCATGACAAAGATGATTGAAGCACTCGGCTTTGGAGTAATCTGGTTCGAGAGAAGATTATCTTTTCGACTGCGAAGGTCTCAGGGGCTACTGTGGATATTATGGGTACCCCATACCCATACGGCATGGTTATCCGACTAGTCATAGGGGATAACTTATATCTATGGAATATGTAATAGATCATGACTCGGGTATTACGTTTCCTTATATATTACGGAACAGCCTAAAGTCCTGGTTTGATAATATTGTAAAGTAGATTTAGGAAACCGATACCGTATTGGTTAAGGTTTCTATCTTGTAATCCTGCCCCCCACCCTATATAAGGTGGGCAGGAGGCCCTCTAGGGGGCATGAGACAACCTGATCGTCAGATCAATACACATCCGGCGGATTCAAATCCCCAAACAGGAGTAGGGTATTACCTCTCATTGAGAGGGCCTGAACCTGTCTAAATCCTTTGTCTCTGCATCCATCCACTTTTAGGTCTCGTGCGCTACCCCCTTTTATTATTGCCGAAATCATGTTTCGACAACATCTGTTCGATGACATTCTGCTATCCACTTCTCCTTCCTTAATTAATGTTTTCCTTTTATGGTGCTAGTATATGCCACAAATGCTTATTTTTCTGGGAATAATTACTATTGAATTTCTTAAAGTGCAGGAATGATTCAATCTAGTACTCATGTTGGGGTAAAATGAGTACTCATTCTGATTTTGGTAAAATTCTATCCCTAATTTTCTAAGCTAATACTCATTGTGAATTTTGTGACCACAAAATTCAATATGAAGATGTACAAGATTTTCTTTCTGTCACAAATTGGAACATAAATATTTGCATCTTGGTAACTAACTAAAATGTACAGATTTTTGCAGGGTCTAATATTGCGTTATGGATGACCAGGAAGCTAACAGGAAACGTCAATCTTGTGATGTTCTGGCTGATCTTCCTGTGGAGATAATGGTCAATCTAGTTAGGCACTAGTAATTAGGTGGTTCTAGTGCTTTCTTTTCAAGGGTTTTGGTTCACAGAACTAAAATTTGAACACAACAGACTACAGCTTTTTCATAGCCCGACGTATGTTCAGAGTTACTCCCTCCGTCCAAAAAAAAAAAAGGCAAACTCTGAGTTTCCGTGTCCTACTTTCACTGTCCATTTTATATAAATTTTTTTTATAATTCGTATTATATTGTTGTGAGATGATAAAACATGATTAATATTTTATGCGTGACTTGTCTTTTTATTTTTTTTCATAATTTTTTTAAATAAGACGAACGGTCAAACGTTAGGTACGGAAATTAGGTTTGTCTTTTTTTTTTTTTTGGACGGAGGGAGTAGCTATTAAACAGAGCTTTTGTTGCAAAGCCTGATATGTTTTGTTACGTGGACAGTGGTTGGGCTAGTGTTTTTTCAAGCCCGTTTGTTTGTTGGACCTTTTATAATAGCCAAAGGAAAAAGTACACTGAAGGTCCCTCAACTTGCCATCAAGTTACAAAATCATCCCCTAACCGCAAAACCAGATATCCAGCATCTCCTGACTAATCAAAACCGATCACAATAGGTCATTTGGTGGTTTTAGCCTCGGTTTTAGTCTACGTGACGGGTAATTCAGCGTGGGACCTACATGGACCCCACATGTGAGGATGCCACGTCAATCTCTCTCCCTTCCTCCTCTCTCTCTCTCACTCTTCTCTTCTCATCCGACGCCGCGAGGAGGGCAGCGCCGTGACGGCAGCCGGCAGCACGGCGGCGGAGAAGCTCACGCTCTTGGCGATGCCGCTACCGCCAAGGAGGAGGAGGTGAGGCGAAAGCCAGGCGGCGGCGGCGGCGGGCACGTTGTCCATGCCGAACTGGGTGCTCTCGTCATCGGAGTCGTCGGAGTGGTGGAGCTTGCGATGGGATGTGCAGGCGGTGGTGGTGGAGGCGAAGCGATGTACTCCAGCAGGCGAAGTGATGGCTTCGGCGGGCTCGTGGTGGCGGAGCGGCGGCATCGGTGGGCGAGCACGGCTGCGGAGAGGCGGCGTCAGCGAGTGAGAGCGGTGGCGGAGCGGCGGCAGCTCCGAGCGGCAGCCATCTCGTGGAGCAGAGGGACGGGGGGCTCGGCGGGCGAGCGGCGGCTCCGAGCGGCAGCCATCTCCGAGAGGCGGGCTCCTCCCCTGCCGGCCGCCGGCCCTCCTCCCACGCCGGCCGCCGGCGCGCACCGACGCGGCGCCCGGCCCCGCCTCCACCTCCGTGCTCACCTCATGTCGCGCGTCGTGGAGAGGGACACCTCGTCGGCGTGGTTCTTGGGCTCGTTGTTCCGCGTCGACGAGGCACGCCGCTACATCGTGGACAAGGTCCTGCCGCACCCGTGGTACCGCGCCATCTGCGTCGCCGGCGCCGACCGCCCCGTGGGATCCATATCCGTTAACCCGGCGGACGACCTCCGGGAGCCCGACGAGTCCGAGACCGGCGGCCTCCGCTCCCGCTGTTGCAGGGCCTCCGTCGGGTACCGGGTGGCGCACGTGCACTGGGGTCGCGGCGTGGTGACGCGGGCGGTGAGGGCGACAGCGGAGGTGGTGTCCGCGGAGTGGCCGTGGCTGGAGAGGCTGGCAGCCGTCGCTGACGTGGAGAACCCGGCTGGCCGCCGGGCGGCTGCAAAACGTTATTTTGTTTCCCACTACAGACTGAATGGATGGAAGTCACGAACACTGGAAGATTGGTCTAATGGAAGATGAATCTTTTATCAGTTTCGTTGGGGGCAATCAAGTCAGTCTATATTTGGCTATTTGTATTAGAGATAATCTCGTAGAATCAGCATCATAAACAGGGCGAAAAAAAGTCTCATCGGAGACATCTGAAAAGAGGGCGAAAAAAAATAGAAAAACGAATTTGTCCGATTCCAAAAAAATAAGAAATTATGTGACGCGGTAAAAAAACTGAATCCTATTATATGTGACACGGTTAAAACAATGTGACGCGGTGAAAAAAACAAATCGAATCCGATTCCATCAGCGCGATAAAAAAAATCAGGCGAAAAAAAACGAATATGTCCGATTCCACAAAAATAGGAAACAAACTCCTGTCCATTTCCATTTGGGCTGAATAGGACTTGGTACATTAGTTTCCGTTTGGGCCGAATAGGACTTGTTTGAATTATACCAAGTCCTATTCGGTTAGCATCACCAGGAGCACAAGTGCATATATACATGCATAGTATAATCACAGGCAGCCTTATAGCATTTAGCACTGGTAAAAGGCAAAACAGCATATAACTCTCCATTATACCAATATGTGCCACCGAGAGTTCCACGCCTATGTCGATCCCAGGTAATCCAACAACTCTCTTGTATGCATTTTACTTTCGTTTGTTGAATGTGAGATTGTGTAGTTAATAATACTACATATTACCTATAGTAAGCACTTTGCACCAGCAGCATCATAAGGATCATATATACTGGACATATGATATAAGAATTTATAAGAGTAAAATACACAGCCGGTCCTTAAAGTTGGAGCGAGGTATCACTTAGGTCCATGATCTTGAAAAATCGGCATTGGGGGTCCCCCATCTTGTTTAAGTGACTCATTGAGGTCCAAAGGACATATAACCGGGTTGACTGGCTTACGTAGCGGTCTAGCGTGGCAACATATTTGTATTTTGCCCTCCCCCTCTTTTGCTTCCCCGTGTTCGATCCAACAGGAGCACCGGTGGGCCTGGGAGGCCGGTGGTAGGGAGCATGGTTGCCGTCGGCAGGCGGCGGGAGCAGCGGCGGTGGGCAAGCGTGGTGGCGGGTTGCGAGCGGAGCGGCAGTGGGCAAAGCAGCGGGTGCAAAGATGTTGATGCGAAAAACACACACTGCCCTGGGAGATCTGCTTAGCTCCAGTGCAGGTCCAAAGGTTGATGAGATGCGGTTGGCCAGTCAGTTTAATCCTGCAACTGACAAGACATACAAACAGCAGATCAATGAGCCGATCGGCTGACCAGCCGATGGAGCAATTCCAACCAATGCCGATACCAGCCGATAGTGATAGGGTTTTGAGCAATCGGCTATATGTCCAATGTATATAATGATATGAAGGCAATCGGCTGGTGATAATATAATATAGCAATATAATCCAGTAGAAACCAATCAGCTAACAATATGATATAGTAGAACAAGTATTGATCCGAAGGTTAAAACATACATCGGCTGGAGGTCCGATGTCATAAAATCCACAAGATTAGATAGATCAATGAAACCTTTGTTGTCATCGGCTAAATCCAATTTATATTCATATGCAATCCTTATAAGCCGATGCAACGTTCAGATAACTTATCGGCTAGCACCCCGATAAAACACTAGCATGAACATATCGGCTTAACAAAACTTATATTATCAACAACAATCTAGTAGGTCAAACCTAATAATACTCGATGAGCCGATAGATCTGCCTAATGTGATGGATATAACAAATCTATTTACATCAGCATTGTGATTGTAGAGATATATCGGCTAAGACAGAAGATCGAACCTAACTGAGACAGTCTCAACTAAACCGATGCGTCTCTAAACACAATATAATTAGAGATAGAATTGAGATATCAGGTAGGCAAATATATCAACCAAACCAGAGCGATCCAAGAGATCAAAGCAATACAGCCTTGAACAACACCAATGAAGCCGATAGATTCACCAGGGCTAGCGGAACGTAGGACTTACCCCTTCGCCGTAGATCGAAAGTCGATGCAGCCCCGCGTTAGGTGACAAGTTCCGTCGAATGATAAGTAAAAACCTTGGTAAAGAGGGTGGCGATGCGCCGAGAGTAGTTGTATTGATCGAGAGATTGATTACAATGACCCTGGGTGCACATATTTATACCCATGGGTAGATACTAGTCCTTGTCGGACAAGAAAGAAACTTCCCTAAAGATAAAAGAAAACTAACAAACTATTCCTAATTAATAGATAACTTGCCATGTCGCATCCTCCTTGAACTCGGACTCTTCTGGATATATTTCCTTTAGTTGATCCGACTCCACCAAGAACACGACTAATAGCGATTTGATGACTCCCATCGATCGATTCCAAGACTCTGAAGCCGATACTGACTATAAGCCAATGATAACTTCGGGCTTACCAAATTTTGGCATTAACAAAAGGCCGGCAGGTGAACCGGGAGAGAAGAGGAGGGCGACGCTGCGACAGCGGTCGGCGGCTGCAGCGGGGAAGCATGGTGGCGGCCAAAGATGGGCCCGAGGAGGCTACAGATGGGTGGGGAGGAGACAAGTAGGGGTGTGGGGCGAGGAGGGAGATGAGATCCGGTGACGCGACGGCGGCGACGACGCAAGAGAAGGGGGGGGGCGGCGATGGCAGTAGCACAAGGGAGAGCGAAGAGGACGGGGGTGCACAACAGCTCGAACGTGGTGGCAGCGCGGCCGGCCGAGGGCCGCCCGTGGACAAAGTAGCCGCTGCTGGAGCCGTGCAAGCAGCATCGCCACCGGTAGCTGGAACAAGCAGAGTGGCAGCGTCGGCGGGCGAGGGCGGCTGCGAAGCGGCGACGACGGGCTAGCAGTGACTCCGGACGCGGGCGGAGCAGAGGAGCAGGTGAGCGGGTGGGAGGGGCCACACGCGTACTGGGAGGGAGGCCGATGGCGAGCGCACGCGGAGAAAGAGGAGGAGGGTGGCCGGTGGCGAACGCAGGTGGAGAGAGAGGAGGCGGAGAGGCCGGCGGCACTACGTTTTGCTCGGCCTCGTCGTCTCCCGTGCGCCACCTCTGCCGCCACTCGCGCGTGTCATGCTAGTGTGCTGCTTGCTACTGGCGCTCGTGGCGCCGTTAGTAGCGGCGGCGGCGCGGCATGACTACAGCTACGCGCTGGCGTTGACCACCATGAATACGGGAGCGCCGGTGGACCTAGGAGGCCGGCGGCAAGTGAGCACGGTAGCCATCGACGGGGTACCGCATGTGCACGTGTTGGTGCATGCCGCCGTCAGTGCGTTCCTGCGTGCGCCACGCGATGAAGGGGTTCGATCGAACACGGGGAAGCAAATGGGGGGGGGGCAAAATGCAATTATATTGCCACGCTGGACCGCCACGTAAGCCAGTCAACCTAGACAAAGGTCTTTTGGATCTCAATAAGTCACTAAAACAAGATCAAGGATCGTAATGTCGGTTTTTGAAGATCATGGACCTAAGTGACACCTCGCTCCAACTTTAAGGACCGGCCGTGTATTTTACTCGATTTATAATATATCACTCTATAAGAAATATGCAAGTTTAAATCAACTATACATATTGTAATAAAAATAACAAATTAACTCTAACTTGTATAAAATTCATAGTAAAATTCATTATTTTGTTATAATTTATAAAATTCGAATTTTAGAATTGATATGTTACGCACTAATCTATTTTATTATTTTTTCAAATTTACATATAACTAATTTACTTGAGATGCAATAAGCGAGTGAGTAATAATTAAAAGAGTACGTTTTCGTCCTAACCATCAAAAAAGAGAAAACTCCAATTACCAAGTACACATGGGCCTCCTAGATGCGTCTAGGTGGCGGAGCAGGACAACGCTTTATGACCTTGGAAAAAGTACACCGCCCCTCAACTTGTCATCGAATTACAAAATCGTCCATAAACCGTAAAACCGGATACAACACGTCCCCCAACTTATAAAACCAGTGCAAACTAGGTCCCTCGGTGGTTTTGACTCCGGTTTTATCTGACGTGGCAGCTGACTCAGCGTGGGACCCAAGTGGGTCCCACATGTCAGCCCCTTCTTCCCCTCCTCTCTCTTCCTCTCTCATCCCTTTCCACGGAGATGGTGACGGAGAGCAGCTAGGCGCGGGCGACGGGGTAGCAGCTGGGCGCGGCCGACGGCCGGCGGGAGAGGAGCTGGGCACGGCCGTCGGCCTGCGGGGAGGAGCAGGAGACGGCCGGCGAGGGTGGAGATGGGCGCGGCCGGCAGCCGCAGGGGGAGAGCTAGGCGGCGGTGGTGGGAGGTCCATGGTGATGGGCTCAAGGAGGTAGAGGCGGCGACAACGCTGGAGCAGATCGGACTGGCGACGACCGCGGACGCGTAGGAGACCTCGGGGCTAGCGGGATTCGGGCACTGGTGGAAGGAGATTGGCACGGCGAGGTCGCGCTCGGATGGGCGTCGAGCGGCGGAGCTTGCACCAGAGTTCGGCGGCTCTAGCTTGCGGTGGAAGAAGGGGAACAACGTTCCGATGCAGGGAAGGGGCTCAAGGAGGCGGAGGTGGCGGCACTGGGTCCGTTGGCAGAGGCGGACGAGGCCGGCGGGGACGGGCTTCGGGGCTCCCAAGCCAGGCGAAGGCGGCAGAGCGGCGCTTGCTGTGGGGAACAGAGGCACGGCGATTCGACTTCCGCCGCCGCCGATTCCGCCTCCGCTGTCGATTCCGCGTTCATCGATTCGGCTTCCGCCGTCGCCGATTCCGCCTCAGCCGTCGATTCCGCCTCCACCGATTCGGTTTCCGCCGCCGCCGATTCCGCCTCCACTGATTCGGCTTCCGCCGCCGCCGATTCCGTCTCAGCCGTCGATTCCGCCTCCACCGATTCGGCTTCCACCGCTGCCGATTCCCAATTCCACACCTCCGTTGTCAATTCCGCCTCCACCATGCCAGGAGCAAAGGGAGAGAAGAAGAGGGAAGAGGAAGAGAGTGGAGGGGAAGAAGGGGCTGACATGTGGGACCCACGTGGGTCCCACGCTGAGTCAGCTGCCACGTTGGACAAAACCAGAGTCAAAACCGCCAAGGCACCTAGTTTATACTGGTTTGGTAAGTTGGGGGACAAGTTGTACCCGGTTTTGCGGTTTAAGCACGATTTGTAATTCGATGACAAGTTGAGGGACCTTCGGTGTACTTTTTCCTATGACCTTCTAGTCTCATCAACCCGGCCCATTTGCCGTCAGAGGCCGCGCAGCACGAAAAGAACCGACCACCAAAGCAAGCGGTCGTAGCACATCCCTGTAGCCATACCCACCTGCTGCCGATCCCCACCTGCTACCGATCCGCCGCCGCCGCCAATGGCCGGGCTGCCAGCTCTCACCGACGACGTCCTCGCCGAGATCCTCGTCCGCGTGCCCTCGTCGTGCGACCTCGCGCGGGCCTCCGCGGCGTGCAGCTCCTTCTGCCGCATCGCCACCTCCCCGCGGTTCCTCCGCCGCTTCCGCTCGCTCCACGCGCCGCTGCCGCTCGGCGTCCTGTGCCCCGACGGCGCCGCCGCCTTCCACCCCGCCATGCCCCCGCACCCGTCGGCCCCCGCCGCCCGCGCCCTCGCCCTCGCCGCGGACTTCGCCTTCTCCTTCCTCCCTCCGCCCGCCCGCGCCTGGCTCCTCCGCGACCACCGCGACGGCCGGTTCCTCCTCGACCGCGCGCTCGCCGGCGGCTCCACCGCCTTCACCGATGTCGCTGTCTGCGACCCCCTCTTCCGGCGGTACGTTCTGCTCCCGCCCATACCCGACGACCTTGCCGCCTCCGTCCAAAATCCATACCTCCAGTGCGGCGGCGATGGTGGTCTGCAATCCCGCAGTAGCGAGATCTTCCTGGCATCTTGCGGCAGTGACGCAGGAGGCGAGGAGCCATTGTTCGCTGTGATCTGGATGGCGTGCTGCCGAGGGAAGCTGGTCGCGTTCTTCTTTTCATCTGAATCCCAACAGTGGCGTGCTCTTTCACCTCCCGAACACTATGCTTTGAGTACGAGGAGAGTCATGGGCGTTCGACTCGGACAGCGCAACCATGCTCATGGGTGCTTCTACTGGATGATAACCCTCACCCATAGGTGGCTTGTATTAGACACTCGCCGAATGGAGTTCTTGGTTGTGGATATCTCTCCTGTCCTTTCAGGCCGCGCAATGATGTTCAGTAATCAGATTATCACTCTGGAATCAATGGATGGATGGACTATCGTTGTTGTCGCAGATGTTTTCCGGTCAGATAAACGATGTGTCCTGTATTTTTATAAGTTCATGTATTTCAGTGACCGGTGGCAACTGCAGAGCAAAATTAACTTGCCTGAGGAATGGGGCTATCGATTTAGAGGCATCATAGGTGCATCTGAATGTTACTTATTTATAAAGCTTGATCACCCCAAGCAGAACTTGGGAGATCCAGTTCAGCAGAATGCTATGTATTTCATGTTTGATATCAAGACCATGCAGCTTGGGAGGTTCTCTGAGATATGTTCTGGTACTGTCAGCGAAGCCTATCTTTACACTGGTTTTCCACCATCACAGTCGCTACCCAGTGTTTGATGCAGTAAGCTTGTTCTTTTTGCTTGCAGCTATCAATTTACATCGTTCTATTATTTCATGTTACTTTTTGATTATCTTGTTTAGGGGAATATTTTATTGTAATATCCGCTACTTCTTGTATTTTATTTGAATAAATATGCAGATAACACATGTAGACGGTTTTATATCTTTTATGATTGTTTCCTTTCACTAGCAAATATGCCCGTGCGTTGCACCGGCTGAATATCGGCTAAATATGAATGGTTAAGATTGCTGCATAAAAATCTTAAATTTGTACACACCTCACAAATATCTCCAAATTTTATACAGGGAAATATCAAAACATATTTCATATTGTATACACATTCAGATTCATGTCGTATCTCAAACTTTATAATTCATGCGTGAGATATTTCAAATTTTCTACACTTTGAACATATTCCAACTTTCACAAATTTTCACAAATGGGGGAGGGGGGGCAGTTATAGATTTGACTTAACCATCCTCTGCAAAAGAAAAAAGGTAAAAGCCATCCGCAATGGCAAAGAAACATGCACTTTCATTTATCTAAAAATAATTTACTGAGTGACCAAATAATTGATCATAATTTCCCAACAATTTTGAATGTCTTAAAATAGTGACAAATAAGTTTCTGTAATTCTAAAATTAATTAAATCAGTTGCTTAAAAAATAAACTGATTTCGGCCTAAAAGGCTCGAACCGGCCTGCACTGTGCGGCATACAAGTGCTTGTGCTAGTGCACAGCGGCCCAGCCGATAGTGCCAGCCCGTGAAGACGTGGCGGCCCAGCCAAGCTAGAAGTCCTAGCGAGCAGCACAGGCGACCCAATGCGGGAGAGAGAATGGCCGTCCTAGATTGCAGCTGTTCCGGCATGTCCCTAATCCCATTATCTTCTCTTCTCCCTGATCTCCTTCTCTCCGGCACGTCCGAGCAAAGCGAGTAGCAGCTGAAATGGTCAATTAGGCCTTGGGGTGTGGGGGGGGGGGGGGAGGCGAATTTAAAACTTTGTGCGAAAGCTAAAACTGAAATAAGGTCGAAAAGTCTGATCCACAGTCAGACTATCCGAAAATATCAGATAGTCTGATGTTGGATCAGACCACCAATGAAGCACAACAAGTAGATCTATCACACAAACAAGAGTAAAGCACAAACAGCGACTAGATCTATAGCGGCACAATTAAGCAAAGCTAAAAGGAGGATGAAGGGAGATCACCAATGATGAAGTTCACGAAGTTGTTCCCGGAGTTCAAATCCTTGAGGGGATTCTACTCTCCGTTGAGGAGCTCACTAAGAGCCGGGTCTTTGCTAACCCTTTCCTCAAGAGGTTGCACTAAGCACTCCTCCTTCCACTAAGGGGTATCTCTTTCCTTGCGGAGGCGAGATCCGGCCTTCACAAACTTCTCTCGGCCAACCACACGTAGATCGGTGGCTCGGGAGTGACACCTAGCCGTCTAGGAGTCCTCAACCTCCAAGAGCAAACACCACACAACTCTTGGTCAAACCCTAGTGCTCAAGATCGAGTGAAACACATACTAGGCCCTCAAACACCAAATCCACAACCACCAAGATCCACCACGCAAAGAACAAGGAGGGATTTGAGAGAGGGAGAAAGAGCTCAAAGATCCAAAGCACCTTAGCACCAAGCTCAAACCAAAGTGAATGAGAATGAAATGAGTTGGGTAACCCTAGAAAAGGGTTAGGTGGGAGGTATTTATAGACCCCCGAAAAATGTGGCCATTGGAGGGGAATATTTTAGCCCACGTCGGATAGTCTGATACAAGATCGGATAGTCCGATATTTTAAACCTCCAAGGCAACGAGAAACAGAGAACGAAGTTCCATGAAATTTCGGACTTTCCATGACATCGGACTATCTGATGTTAAATCGGAGTATCTGATATTTTAGAAGCAAAAACTTCGTCCTCAAACAGAGACTCAAGTTCTATGAAATTTTGGAGTCTCTGTATCATCGGACTATCTGATCCAACATCGGATACTCCGATACTTAGAAAAACTCACTCGATAGGATTTTTTCAAATCAAGACAGAGAGTGAAGTTCTGTGAAAAATCGGATAGTCCGATACATCGGATAGTTTGATGTTGCTCAAGTAAAACTGCAATAACTTTTTACTCCGAACTCCGATTTCGAAGATCTTGGACTCTATGGAAAGCTAGTTTTGTGGGCTATCAAACCCAACATAAAACATGGTCCAAAACCTTCAAGAGATGTTGAAAAACTTGCAAAGAAACCCGGTGTAAGTGTTGTGACAAGTGAAACAACTCGGGATTGAAATTTTGACTTAGGTTTTTCAACTCACACAAAGATGAAGCATTTTGAGCACTAGTATTCTACCAATAATATGCATGTGGTATCCCTCTTAATAGTACGACATTCCTACGACACAATGTAAGGTAAAAGATACAATATACCATTTGATCATTGCCGCATTGCATCGTGATGTCGCATTCATGGGGTATGCATCTCATTACAACATGTCGAGGACATAACAACCTTCACATTTACTTGAATAAAAGTGTTAGTCCTCTCTAATCGCATTGTAATCAATCATTAAAATAATTAGGGGCCTAGATGTACTTTCAATCTCCCCCTTTTTGTGATTGATGACAATACGATTAGATCACAAGAGAGAATGAATATAATAGATGATTTTGGTGCAAAGATTTAGTAAAAGCTCCCCCTAAAAGTGTGCATTAAAGCAAGTAGAGAGCTCCCCCTAAATCTTTGCATCCACATTGAAGCTCACAAGACAACAAATATATCACATTACATCCCAAGCATTCATAATTAAACAATAATGTCTTACAAAGCATTAAACTAACTTAAGAAACACATATCTCTCATACAAATAAAAACCACTCATGATCGACCATAATAAATAAAAGGATAAATCTTCTCCCCCTTTGGCATCTAAGCACCAAAAAGGGAGGATTTTTGCTGGAATTTTGATGAAAACATTTTGCAAACTTTTGGAAATGAATTTTTTAAGGGAATTGCACCGGGAATTTTGAAGAGATTCAATTTTTCACAAACTTTTGATGGGAGTTGGAGGGAAAGGAATGGTCGAACATTTAGGCCCCATTTGAGTTCATGGCTAGCACACAATCAACCACACAAAACAATAGCCACAAGTCAAATGGATGATCCAAAGATCAAATGAGAGTGAATTATCATGAGACAAGATGATTCACCCTCGAGAGAGGGAATGTACGAATCTATAGCAAATTGTGCAAGGACTAAGATTCATTAGAGAATGAGATCCCCGTACACATAGATTCAAGCTATCCACTTAGATTATGACTAGTGTTCATTCATGAATTGAATGTTCACTTTGTCATGATGTGGCATGCAATCCTATTCTAGTAATTGAAAACAAATGCATTGTCGAAACATGAATTCGGCAATAATAAAAGGGGGTAGCGCACGAGACCTAAAAGTGGATGGATGCAGAGACAAAAGATTTAGACAGGTTCAGGCCCTCTCAATGAGAGGTAATACCCTACTCCTGTTTGGGGATTTGAATCCGCCGAGTGTGTATTGATCTGACGATCAGGTTGTGTCATCTGCCCCCTAGAGGGCCTCCTGCCCACCTTATATAGGATGGGGGGCAGGATTACAAGATAGAAACCTTAACCAATACGGTATCGGTTTCCTAAATCTACTTTACAATATTATCAAACCAGGACTTTAGGCCGTTCCGTAATATACAAGGAAACGTAATACCCGAGTCATGATCTATTACATATTCCATAGATATAAGTTATCCCCTATGACTAGTCGGATAACCATGCCGTATGGGTATGGGGTACCCACAATATCCACAGTAGCCCCTGAGACCTTCGCAGTCGAAAAGATAATCTTCTCTCGAACCAGATTACTCCAAAGCCGAGTGCTTCAATCATCTTTGTCATGGTCTCCCGAGTACTTTTACCAAATCTGAAGACTGTGGAGGGCTGGAAAATAAAGTCAGGTGCACCGACTAGATGCACCTAATAGGTGTAGCTCCCGACAATGTGGTTAATTGAACAAACCAAGCATATAGTCAAGGAATAAATAATCCAACCAACCGAGTGGTTTTGATAATCGTAATCAACCAAGTGACTTGATATCAATATATAGCATATGCGGTGTGAATCCTCCAAATAACATGATCCGAGTGATATACCAACCGCTTTGTAAAATATGATGAGTGATATAGCAAAATAGCTATAAAGAAGCTTGTATATTGTGAATAAAGAAATTTCCAAAGTATTGGGCATACGCCATGCGCACACTGCTTTAACAGATGTACTTAAGTCCCTAGAAGACACATGGTTTCACCACACCTGGAAATATATGGCATATGTGGTGTAAAATCCGAGTAAATAAACTCATAAAGGATTTACCAACCGCCTAGAAAATGACCACAATATATAATCAGCCTAAGCCATAATATTGGTCAATAAAAATGCACACTTACGTGGCAAAAAGCAATGATATTGTATCCAATCAATTGCTTAAAAACCCAAACAGCACCATGACTATATAAAAAAGTCAGCGGGCCAGCTATATAAAGCTTTACTGTTTGACACCTTTTAAGATGCATTGTACCAACTCCTAAAAAGTTAAGTAACTGCGGTATAAAAGGATTTTAAGGTATTGGGTACTTGATCACGCGCACTTTGGCCTAAGCAAAAAGTGCCTAAGTCCCTAAAAGAACGTGACAGGCCACACCTGAAAATATGGGCTGCAGACATATTAGGCCTAGGCCAAAAAATATGCCTTCGACACCCTTTAAAGGATGACGCATGTAACATGCTCCTGAGTAATAAATCTTCCGGGTAATATAGACCAAGTGTAGCTCATATGAATAGCTTCTGATCTGAATGATTATCCCTTATGGGATACTCCAAAAATAAATATAATAATTGAATCCCGACTGGCGCAAGTATTCGGTTGATAGCCCTTACGGGGAATAATAATTGGTCCAGTCTTTGAGCATAGAAAATAGACTCATGACTATGAATCCATGTGGAATGTATCCGGAACAAGTCCAAATTGGAGATATAATCTTCACGCTTGAGTTGATGAGCCCCTGAGCATATAGCTTGTCCTTCTGTCATAGTCAAAATTGTCCATTGATGGTAGCTGACGCAGTCGGCATGGAGATGAAAT